GGTAAATTTTATAAAAATAAAACTCAGGTCTTTACTTCATTTCAATTCGATACTAGAAAAAAAGTTAGTCTCTTAACAACAGCTTAACAAATCTTGTTATTTTTGGAAAAAAACATAATAATTCTGCCAATCTTTTGAAGTGTGTCAACACTCATTAGATTAATGAAACATAAGTGTTGTTGAAATATTATTCATCTACTTAGACACAAGAAACTTGTAGTAGGTAAATGTTATAAAAATAAAAATCAGGTCATTACTTCGTTTCAATTTGTTACCAGAAAAAAGATTGTGTCTCAGCAACAGCTTAACAAATATTATTTTTTGGAAAAACAGTAATTCTGCCTCTCTTTTTAAAGTGTCTCAACACTCTAATTGTTCATAAAACATAAGTGTTTTTCAAAAGAGATAAGAAACTTAAAGTAGGTATAACCAGGTGAAAAAATGGGTACCTGTCAAATGTATTTTAAAGGCATGTTTTTGTTTCACCGACTGGTTGTTATTCTTGTTTTTGCCAGCATGTGGTGCTGTTGTTACAGAGAGGTCTAAAATGACCGGAAATTAAAAAAAAACTCATTCATGTATCGTGGCACTAAAATCCAAACAGAAGAGAAGGACATTTTGTGCACCGAGACCGGTTGGAGGAAGGTGACTATATGGCCACCTGACCAGAAGATCCGAGTTCTCAATGCCACTGCCGTTTGTTTTTACCCGTTGTTAGAGTTTAGCTCTGTGAAGCTACGGCCGCCATTTTCACTGAAGCTAACCGTGATTGAATACGGGTCATGTTTTTTCAGCATATATATATAATATATATATATATATATATATATATATATATAATATATATATATATATATATATACACTGAGCAATAGAGGCCCAGATCTACCACACCAGACAAGACCCAAGGTGTAGGTTGTGCAAGGAGGCCCCTGAGACAGTCCAGCACATCACAGCAGGGTGCAAGATACTGGCAGGGAAAGCGTACATGGAACGACATAACCAAGTGGCAGGCATAGTGTACAGAAACATCTGTGCAGAATATGGACTGGAAACCCCGAGATCAAAGTGGGAAACACCCCAAAGGTGGTGGAGAACGCCAGAGCTAAGATCCTGTGGGACTTCCAGATCCAGACAGACAAAATGGTAATGGCGAACCAACCAGACATTGTCGTAGTGGATAAATAACAGAGGAAAGCCGTTGTGGTAGATGTAGCAATACCAAGTGATTGCAACATCAGGAAAAAGGAGCACGAGAAACTGGAGAAATACCAGGGCCTCAGGGAAGAACTGGAGAGGGCCTGGAAGGTGAAGACCACAGTGGTGCCTGTGGTCATCGGGGCCCGGGGCAGTAACCCCCAAACTGGAGCAGTGGCTACAACAGATCCCAGGAACAACATCAGACATCTCAGTCCAGAAATGTGCAGTCCTTGGCACAGCCAAGATACTGCAGGACCCTCAAGCTCCCAGGCCTCTGGTAGAGGACCCGAGCTCAGAGGATAAAACCACCCGCGGTGGGTGAGAAGGGAATTTTATTTTTTATATATCTGCATTTGAGAGAGAGAAAACTATTCTTCTATATTCTATTTTTTTAAGCTCTGTGTGCATCATTACTCCTGGCTTCATAGGTAAATTTTATAAAAAATAAAACTCAGATCTTTAGTTCGTTTCAATTCGTGACAAGAAAAAAAGCTCGTCTCTTAGCAACAGCTTAACAAATATTATTTTTTGAAAAAAACATAGTAATTCTGCCGTTATTTTTAAAGTGTATCAACACTCTTAATTTTTCATAAAACAGAAGTGTCGTTGAAATATCATTTATCTACTTAGACACAAGAAACCTAAAGTTAGTAAATTTTCTAAAAATAAAAATCAGGTCTTTATTTCGTTTCAATTCGTGACCAGAAAACAAGCTTATGTCTAAGAAGCAGCTGAACGAACAGCTATTGTTATTTTTGGAAAAAACATAGTAATTCTGCCGCTCCTTTGAAATGTGTCAACACTCTATTGATTCTTAAAAGTATAAGTGTCTTTGAAAGACACAAGAAACTTGTAGTAGGTACATTTTCTAAAATAAAAATAAGATCTTTACTTCGTTTCAATTCGTTACCAGAAAAGAGCATCTCTCTTGGCAACGCTTAACAAAACTGTTTTTGAAATATTATTGATTTACTTAGACACAAGAAATGTATAGTAGATAATTTGATAAATTGACAAAAAAATATTTTTTAAAAGAACATAGTAATTCTGCCTGTCTTGGAGTGTCTCAACACTACATTGTTTCATAAAACATAAGTGTTGTTGAAAGATTATTTATCTACTTAGACACAAGAAACTTATAATAGGGTAAATCTTATAAAATAAAACTCAGGTCTTTGGTTCGTTTTCATTCGTTGCAAGAAAGAAAGCTCGTCTCTTAGCAACAGCTTAACAAAACATTGTTGTTTTGAAAAACAGTTATTCTACCCTGTTTTGAAATGTCTCAAACTCTAATTGTTCATAAGACATAAGAGTTTCCAAAGAGATAAGAAACTTAAAGTAGGTCAATTTTATAAAAATAAAACTCACGTCTTTTGGTCGTTCAATTCGTTAGAAAAAAAGATTGTGTCTTAGCAACAGCTCAACAAATCTAATTTAAAAAAAAACAAAAAAACAGCAATTCCACTTTTGAACTGTCTCAACACTCTGTTTGATTAATAAAACATAAGTGGTTCTGAAATATTCATTTATCTACTTAACACAAGACACTGGAGTTGGTAAATTTTATAAAAATAAGATCTTTACTTCGTTTCAACAAGAAAAACAGCAGCTAAACAAATATTGACCCAAAAACATAGTAATTCTGACAGTCTTTTGAAAGTTTGTCAACACTAATTGTTCATAAAACATCAGTGTTTTTGTAAGAGACAAGAAACTTATGGTATGTAAATTTGATTAAAAAAAACCACTTATCTCTTTAATTCATTTCAATTACAAGAAAAACAAGCTTGTCTTTTAGCAACAGCTAACAAACATTGTTGTTTTTGAAAAAACAGTTATTCTACCCCTGTTTTGAAATGTCTCAAACTCTAATTGTTCATAACATAAGAGTTTTTCCAAAGAGATAAGAAACTTAAGTAGGTCAATTTTATAAAAATAACTCACGTCTTTTGGTCGTTCAATTCGTTAGCAGAAAAAAGATTGTGTCTTAGCAAAGCTCAACAAATCTAATTTAAAAAAAAAAAAAAAAAAAACAGCAATTCTTCCACTCTTTTGAACTGTCTCAACACTCTGTTTGATTAATAAAACATAAGTGGTTCTGAAATATTCATTTATCTACTTAACACAAGACACTTGGAGTTGGTAAATTTTATAAAAATAAGATCTTTACTTTGTTTCAACAAGAAAAACAGCAGCTAAACAAATATTGACCCAAAACATAGTAATTCTGACGGTCTTTTGAAAGTTTGTCAACACTAATTGTTCATAAAACATCAGTGTTTTTGTAAGAGACAAGAAACTTATGGTATGTAAATTTGATTAAAAAAATAAAAAAAACCACTTATCTCTTTAATTCGTTTCGATTCATTACAAGAAAACAAGCTTGTCTTTTAGCAACAGCTTAACAAATATTGTTTTTAGAAAACAGAAATTCTGCCACTCTTTAAGTGTCTCAACACTTCATTGATTAAAATAATATTTAAATAAAATTAATATTTAAATAATCTTTATTACCCCTACTCTTATTAAGGACAGTGCACATTAATGAACAATCAACACTACTGTATAGACTGTAAATGGGCCAGATTGTAGCATAATTGCTAATTTACATCTGTAGTTCTAGACAAGGAGACCCAAACAACAAAAAGACATTACAAACATACAATCAAGAATTAACAAACATTCACAAAAAAACACAGTAAAAAGTTAGTTAGGTTTTTTTGAAATATTATTTATCTATTTAGATATAAGAAACATGTAGGTAAATTTTATAAAAATCAAAATCAGATCTTTAGTTTGTTTCAATTCGTTACCAGAAAAACAGGGCTCAACAGGTGTTGACACCTCAACATATATTGTTGTTTTGAAAAAACGTAGTAATTCGGCCGTTGAAGAGTCTCAACTCTTAAGTGTTTTAACAACAATTTGAGGAAGAGAGTAACGTGGCACCCTTTCAACTTGGCGTTCCCCATTGAACAACCACAGAATACATAGCTCTCTGATCTCGGCCGGGGGGCTCCAGGGAATGGCTCCCAGGGTTGGGCACTGTCCCAAGGAGTCCCCAGGAAAGGCCCAGTCCGGTGCCAGTCACCTGGCACCCTTGCAACTGACCAAGCCCCAGTGAGCATCGTTCTGGGTAAACGGTTCCCAGACCCTGGATCTCGTCCAGGGACCACCGACTTACCTTCTGCCACCTAACCTTTACCCTAAACCTTTACATGTTTAGTGCACCCAATGCCTGCATGGAACTTGGCTGGATCCCCTGGTTCTAGAGACTCTGAAGGGGTCCCTTCAGAGTCCCCTGGTATCCCTTCAGAGTCCCCTGGTATCCCTTCAGAGTCCCCTGGTATCCCTTCAGAGTCCCTTTAACTCTGCAAGTTGAGCCTCCTGTGATGGTCGAGAGGTTTTAGTCTCAATAAAGAAAATAGTAGTCTGCAAGGATTGTACACAGAGTCTCAATCAAGATTCAATAATTATTTACAAAAACAGCTGGTTAAAAAAAGGAGGCATAGACAGTTCCTGACAAGAAATCAATACACAAGTTTGTGAGAGATTCTTAACTGGCCCAAAACGGGGAAAAGGGGGCGCGGTCCTCTACTGTTTCCAGTAGAGGTCCGACCGATCCTCCGGTTCCCAGCGAACCTCCAGCGGCGACCTAGCAGTCCCACTCCACAGTTGGCCGCCAGATCAGCAGCACTCCTTGGGGCCAGTCCTCCATCTCCAGATTAAATCTGAGAGAGAGTCTTAGCTGGCCCAACACAAGGAGGGGAAAGGGATGTAGTCCTCTGCTGCTCTCCCAGGCCGACCGATCCTCCGGTTCCCAACAGACCTCCAGCTGCGATCCCGCAATTCCCGCTCTTCCAGCTGGGCTCCAGCTCCTCTGCGGCGTCCAGATCAGCAGTACTCCTTTTGGGCCAGTTTGGGCCAGTCCTCCATCTCCAAACCTCCAGTCCACCTCCGTCCTCCTACAACCGACGTCGGTAGCCCACCTGGTCCATCTGCCCGTCCAGCTGCAGCCGTCTCACCTGGCCGTCTTCTCCAGCCGTGTTGTACCAATCAAAACATGCAACAACAACCCAACATTTAAACCAAAATAATCTAGGAAACTAACTAACTTCAAAATACACAGTCCAAACAATATAAGAATCATAAATTAACTCAAAAGAAAAACAAGATCACCTTGCCACACTCCAGGTCCTCATTTTTTTCTGTGGCCATTTCTCAACAAAGAAATCACAGACAAGCAATGTTAGATAAACTGCATTAATCTAACATCCACATAATATCTTGAATCAACTCACATACCTGTTCAAAACAGAAATAACCCAGTACAGCAGTCTGGGCTCTGGCTTTCCCTCACACACCTTAAACGATCAAAGAGCAAAAATAACCAAGTTGTTTCGGTAAATTCAACAAATGTCGCTGTGGTGGGAATTAAATACCCAATACAGTGCTGCACCTACATAAAACAATTGAAAAGCAATATATAAGGACTTGTAAAGTCCTGAATCAAATTGAATATTTATGATGGATGAGATACTTTGGAAGGAAGAAAGCCTGAAAGGCATGGACATTAAAATCAACATTAATGGTATCTGGTTATTTGTGGCGTTCACTGTCTAGTATTTTGTTCGTACAATACTTGAATGTCAAGCGAACGCTCAATTTTGTGACGTAGGTGCATACTTTCATCACACTGAAAATTGGAAATAACGCACGACGGTGGCACACCCATAAACGAAAGTGATATGTTTCTACAAAGAGAAGTAGATGTCTTTGTGTTTATATGTGGTAAATTATAATATCATGAAACAAAGCGATTCTCCAGTTGTTCTTTCGTGGTCGCTGTTCACACATCTGTGGTGCTGAAAATGCACTGGTTACTTTTTCTACCTTAATGTCATAACACGAAAGAGCAGGTTACTTGCTGTTATAGTGTGAGATTTTACACTACAGCAGCAACAAGGGATCATTTTGACAGCTGCATTTAAACCTCTATTATAATGAAGATACATTCAATTTCATTGGCTATCATTTTTTAAAACCAAATCAAAAGTGAACGAATTTTAACCCAATAGCAGGCGTTTAAATATGCATTAAGTTTCTAACTGTGTCAAAAGTCAAACTGTTACAAGATACCAAAGTAATCTTTAAAATCAATTCATCTAAGAAATGTCACAATGTATTTCTATAACTCGGTAACAACTGTAATTGTATGAATGACAGTTCTAAACAGCAAGTCTGAAAGTACTTTATAGGAGCTGTTTCTCTTTTCTAGTTAAATCTTATTTAGATTTAGTTAATTTTTATTTCTTCCTTATTTTCTAGTTGATTTATAATTAAAATTTTTGTTCAGTTTATTTAAAATAAGTTTGCTGGTTCACTTAAGTTAATTAATTAAATTTTGGGACGTGGGTGTTACACAGTACAGATTTGAACTAGCACATTATGCATGTGGGTGGTCAAAAGGTTTTTTTCCAGTCTATTCAGTTAGTCATCAGTCAGTCTATCCAATCGGTCAGCCAGTTCATAAAAACAACAGGTGTAGGAATCAGACTGAAAGAAGTAGTGGAATCCTGTGAGGCCTGTTACTTGTTTTGTCTGAATAGTGGAATAAAACAAAGAACTGCATTTTGACCTTTTGTAGAATCCATGATGCACCATTTGCACTATTTGAGTTGAATTCACCTTTTAGTCTTACGTTTTGTTACTTTTGAATTTAAGTTTTGGACAAATAGTCAGTACAACCTAAATAAACATTATTTGTAATTATGACATAAACAGTGACTATGCCTAATCCTTTTTTATAGCTGAGGTTAACAAAAATGTACTCAATTTTTCTGTTTTATGTTACAGGATGAGCTGGATGACACAGCACAACTATGGAATACACCACATCAGGCCATCTAAAAACTTGCACGTTCCCAGCGGTCGGCCCAATGTGATGTATGCCCTACCTGAACTGTACAGAACTACAGACTTCCTCACTCCTTTTGAAGTAGAACAGATTCAACTGTGTAGAGATGCATGCACTTTTCGGCAGACCATACCATGTGATTCTGCTGTGTATGACATTTGCAATGTTTTAATGGCAGAATATGGTCTAATGACACCATCAGATCCATATGATTCTGTGAAACTGTACATGTTACTGAGAGATGCCATTAGAGGATTACTGTGAGTATTGACTGGAAAGAGCCTGCCATGTTAGGGTTCCACATGTCTCAAAACGGAGCTGCTTGTTTTCGATTATGAGACATTAACATGCATTCTAACTGTTAAACTTGATAAATAATCTGACTCTTTCTTTTCCCTTTCTAAAGTATTAAAATAGAAGCAGAAAACTAAATGTCCCTCTTACAACATTAATCCATCTAAGTGCTGATTTATTTTGCTAAGTGCAAAAGTCAACATGCACAACACACAGCTGTGGATAAATGTTTACACAAATTGCATATTTGTGTTAACATTTATTGTGAACATTCACAGGAAATCCAAACACGTATCAAAATAAAAACTTTGCAAGACAATTACTTCATGTTTAAGTTTACCTAAAAACATTTTGGCACCACCAAAACAATAAAACAGGTCACCAGAAAAACCAAGGTTGGCGATGTTGCAAACACTCTGAATTTTGTTGTATTTTAAGTATTGTTGTGTTTACTTAATTTCATTATCCAACCATCAAAATAAACTTTCTGTTGAATTTCTAAACATACTTTGATAAAGATGAAAATACATCAATTTCACTGCTGGAATACTATCAGGAACTATTAGATAAAATGGCCAAAATTACAAGAACTGAATTCTTATCCCTTTAATTCCTAAAAACACTCTTTCACATTTAGAAAATTCTACAAGAAACAATGTTTTTAAACCAGCGTTATGTTATGTTCTCAACATTGTGCATATCAACAAATGAAAGGGTAAAGAATGAATGTATTTTGATCAATTAGTCAAACTCCAAATTTGGTTCTATTACAAGTTTTTTCCTGCAAACACATGTGCTATTAAAATATCTTGATGAAATTTCAGCTGCGTGACAGTATTAAAACAACTTGAAAAACTAACTACTGGTCTAATTGCAACTGGCGGTTATTAAATTCTGGAAACTATACAAAATTGGAAATTGTTTACCCTTTGGGTTTTCAAGCAAAAACACAAACCTTTCAACATTGCACAGCTTTTAAGCATTGAAAATGGAAACCCATAATTTAACAATCATGAACATTGTGCATAATGCAGAATAATATAGGATTTAATTGAGCATAAATGTCAACTACCTTTTCAAGCTTAAATAATATCCATCAACATGAAGTTGCTTACCAAGATACTGTCAAACTCTGCTCTAAATTCTGGGTAGGAACTGTAAGTGTAAGGCACATCAATGATTGCTGCACATGTGTGTGCAACAGGTCTTCTCCCAAAACCTGTTTCAGCATTGAATGTAACCTTAATTTTTTCTGTGCATAAAACGGAGGACCCTGTGCAAAATCGCAAAATTTTTCTAGTTTGCGCTGATCTGCATTCCTAATGTACCTCTGCAAGTAAGTAAATGTTGTCTGCTCTTCCTGTGATAAAGCCTCTGTTTGCAGCATGTCAACTGCAAACATTCGTTTGTTGCTTTTTTGGACTCATAAATGAAGGACACCAGCTGGATGACACAGATTTAATGCAATGCCTTTGAAAATGTCAGTAAAGCAATCAACGATATACTTTGGTTCTTGTAATATGACTTTATGAGCCATGATCTGTATTGCTTGCTTGATATTTTCCTGAGATGGAATGCAGTGAGCCCCATCTGTGAAAACAGATCCAACAAATTTTCCTCCTCATCCTCTTCCAATACTCCACTGAGGGCCTTTTCTGTGGTACTTGTCTCGCTCTCTGACAAATACTTAGAAAAGGAGGACAAACCAAACTTCTTCTTCTTCCTGATAACTCTGCCTGCGAATTACTTTTTAAAGCGACAGTTTTTATAGTTATATTTACATTATTGACATTTTAACTGGATTACTACTAACCTAAGGACTGGGGGATTTTCGTACTTTTATTTTTATTTTTACCTACTTTTCTTTACCTCCAAGTTAAACCAGGGCAAAATGCCTCCGACTGACCCCAAGGACATGAGCAGCATTTTACAACGACTTCAGTTTATAGAAATGAAGATCAAACTGCTGGAGGTGAACTTTGAGATCAACGCTGCCTGTGGAAATGAAACGACCCTTCCTCAAATCAACGGAGAGGTCGGGAGCCCTGCATCGAGCAGCTCACCCTGGAACGCTCTGGGTGCCAAACCGAAACGGGAGTCTCGCACTGCGGATCCGATGAGACGACTATCAGGGAGAACCCCGCACCTGGACGAATCAGCGTGGACGGCTCTGGTCCGAAACCCACCTTCAACTTCAACACCTGCTCCGCCAAAGAAAGACAAACAAGCAGCTGCAACCAAAACGCCTCCACCGACCCCACTGACCCCGCTGACCCCGCTGACCCCGCTCCCAGGGACAAAGCAACCTGCACGAGCCTCAAAACATTCTGACTCTGTGGGAATCCCACTGAAAAACAGATTTTCTGCACTCCAGCCTGAGCCTCTGAGTGAAACTTCGCCTTCAAATATCAACAGTGAGGCAAGACCAACACATCCATCCCCCAAAGCTCCAAAGGACAAAGCGACCACCAGGAAAACTAAAGGTAACCCAAAAGTGCTTGTTGTTGGAGATGAGGCAGTAAAGGGAATCAGTGACGTTTGCAATCCAAGGAAAACAAGAGTGATGTATTTTCCTGGTGACACTGTATCTGATTTAACCAACAAACTGCTCTCTCTAACCACTGATCAGCCAGATATTCAAACTTTAGTTGTGCATGTTGGAGCCAACGATCTGGCAAAGCAAAAGTCTGAGATTCTGAAAAAGGACTTTAACATTCTTCTGGACACTATGGGAAAACTGAGAATGAAGTTATTTCTCAGTGGTCCAATTCCATCACCTCAATGGGGAGATGAAAAACACTCCAGGCTGCTCACGATCAACAAATGGCTGATTAAAACCTGCTCTACCAGCTCAGTGACCTTCATCGATAACCTCTGGATCTATTGGCAGCGCTTTCACCTTTTTGGAAGAGGAGGACGCAATCTTAATAAACATGGGATAAAGCTACTCACTGCAAACCTTTTTTATTTTATCAACAAGGACAGCAACAGGATCATCGCGCCAGAAGAACAGGCTCAAGGATGTCTGACTAGGATGGAACGCTCCCCGGATCAGGAGCACGATATTCCAAAACAAGCTGATAAATCGACTGGAGACGGAGCGACTGCTTCCCTCGCTCCTTCCCCCCTCCCTCTCTGCTCCTCCAATCATTCACAGGATTCAATGGATACCAATGAAGAAATGTCTTCCGGACCAGAGTTTTTTAAATTTACAGATGGAATGAATCAACAGGTTCGCCTCGGCACGTCTCTCCTTAGTACTCACGTAGCAGACCTCACTACATTTAAGCCACCTGCCCCTGACTTTCCAGAGGATCCATCACTCTGCGTCTCTGAGGTCTGAGGCTGGGGACCAGATATTATCTTTACACCTCTTCCTCCAGAATGCAACTGGCCCCCTGGAAATGCAGAACAGGACATTACCTGTCCGGATCACTACAAGAAAATTTACAAAAAATAGAAAATGAAATACAGCGGTCCTAATTTGAACCTCAGGCTGATCCCCTGCCTAAAGGAACCTCAGACTGAAAATCTTTTGGCCTCCAAGTCACTTAAAATAGCACTTTTAAATACCATGCTAAATGCTAAAGCTCTATTAATTAATGATTTCATCACTGAGTATAATGTTGATGTTATGTTTCTGACAGAAACAAGGTTGAATGACGATAATGACCAAATTGTACTCATTGAATCAGCGCCTCCTGACTACAATTTTTTAAGTGAGAATAGAAAACATAAAAAAGGAGGAGGCGTGGATTCTATATTTAAAATACCATAAACTGTAGTAAAATCTCTTTCGGTCATTTCACATCTTTTGAGTATCTTGGAATTCAGGTTAAAGGCTTCAAACGAACTTTGACACTAACTTTATACAAAACTCCAGCATATGTGGAAAATTTCTTTACTGACTTGAATGATCTTTTATCTCTCATATGCATTGATTATGATTGTTTAATAATTGTTGGTGATTTTAACATTCATGTGGACAAACCCGAAAACAGAGGAGCAAAAAAGCTCTCTGATATTTTAGAAAATTTTGGTTTAACACAACATGTCAAACAAGCAACACACACTCAAGGACACACACTGGACCTGGTTATCAGTAAGGGTGTGACTATTTCCAATGTCTCTGTAACTGATGTCGCCCTGTCGGATCACTTTGCTGTTATCTTTGAAGGTTCTTTATTCTTTGACCCACTTGGACAAACAGCTACTGTCACAAAACGTTCTTTCACAGAAAACACAACAGAAACATTTAATCAAATCTATTCTTCCTCCTCACCCTTAAGCTGTAATGATGTAGATCAGTTGTTACATGATTTTCAGTCTAAAGTTTCATATATCATTGATTCCATTGCCCCATTTAAAGTAAAGGTTTTGACTGGTAGAAAGAAATCTCCATGGAGAAATGCACAAATAGTTCGGTCTGCAAGACAAGTCTGCCGCAGGGCAGAACGATAATGGCGTAAAACTCAACTTCATGTTCATCATGACATCTACAAAGAAAAACTACGTAACTATCACTTAACACTAAAACATGCAAGGGAGGCTTTCTTTGCAGATGTCATAAACAAAAACATCAATAATGCTCGAACTTTATTTGCAACAGTTGACAGGCTCACAAACCCTCCTGTGACGTTACCACATGAACTCCAATCTAATGCTGCCTGGAACAAGTTTTCCAGCTTCTTTTCAGAGAAATCCAAAAAATCAGAGGATTAATCTGCACATCAACTTCAAAGCCAGAACCATTGCTGTACCAAAACAAAACAAATACAGAAAAAATGACCCATTTTCAACTACTTAATTATAAAACTCTAGAAGAAATTATAAGTCAATTAAGTTCAAGCTCCTGCTGTCTGGATGTCCTACCCACACATTTCTTTAAGAAAGTCCTGCCTGTTATTGCTACTGATCTGATCCAAATAGTAACTCATCGCTTACATCAGGTGTTTTCCCCCAGGCCTTGAAAACAGCAGTCATCAAACCACTGTTAAAAAAGAACAACCTGGACAAATCACTATTGCAGAATTACAGGCCAATCTCAAATCTCCCATTCATCAGCAAAGTTATTGAAAAAACTGTGTGTAAACAATTAAATAGTTTCCTCATGATGACCAACTGCTTTGACACTTTCCAGTCTGGTTTTCGTGCTCACCACAGCACGGAGACTGCCCTCGTAAAAGTATTCAATGATATTCATATAAATACGGACTGTAGCAGAACCACGGTGCTGGTTCTGTTGGACCTCAGTGCAGCTTTTGACACTGTCGACCATGACATATTATTGAATCGACTTGAAAGTTGGGTTGGACTCTCTGGTTCGGTGCTCGACTGGTTTGAATCCTACATAAAGAACAGGGATTTCTTTGTTTCAATTGGAAACTTCTCATCAAAGAGGTCAAAGGTCACATGTGGGGTACCCCAAGGTTCAATCCTAGGACCCCTCTTATTTAATATTTATATTCTCCCACTAGCTCAGGTTATAACAGGAAATAATATTAGCTACCATAACTATGCAGATGACACACAGCTCTACATTACGATGTCACCAGGTGACTCTGAACCCATCCAATCACTGAATAAATGTTTAGAACAGATAAATGTGTGGATGTGCCAAAACTTTCTCCAACTGAACAAAAATAAAACTGAAGTCATTATTTTTGGACCTAAAGAGGAACGATCTAGAGTCAATGCACAGCTTCAGTTATTACAACTAAAAACTAGCGATCAGGCCCGAAACCTGGGAGTAGTGATGGACTCGGAGCCACATAAAGACCAGAGCCACATAAAGACAGTAACAAAATCAGCCTTCTACCACCTGAAGAACATCTCCAGGATTAGAGGACTAATGTCTCAGCCAGATCTAGAGAAACTTATTCATGCGTTTGTCTTTAGTCGCATTGATTATTGCAACAGTGTCTTCACAGGTCTGTCCAATAAATCAATCAAAAAGCTGCAGTTGATCCAGAACGCTGCTGCTCGCGTTCTCACTGGAACCATGAAGATAGAGCACATAACACCAGTTTTAAAGTCCCTCCACTGGCTCCCTGTAGCTCAAAGAATAGATTTTAAAATACTGTTGTTAGTTTACAAATCACTGAATGGTTTAGCACCACAATACATCAAAGATCTGCTGTTGTTGTATCAACCTTACAGACCTCTCAGGTCTTCTGGTTCTGGTCTGCTCTGCATCCCCAGAACCAGAACCAAAAGAGGAGAAGCAGCTTTCAGCATCTACGCACCAAAACTTTGGAACAAACTTCCAGAAAACTGTAAAACAGCGAAAACCCTGACTTCCTTCAACTGTAAAACAGCGGAAACCCTGACTTCCTTCAAATCTCAAGTAAAAACGCACCTGTTTAGAGTTGCATTTGAAATGTAATATGTATGGATTTGATTTTGTGGCTATGTATGTAATCTTTTTTTTTTTTTTTTTTTTCCTTTTGTGGGCAACGGGGCCCGGCGAATACCCGTGGTTAAACGGACGGCGGAGTCCGGCGGTAACAGGCGCTTAAATTCCGTGTCAAAGGGAAGGGGGAAGAAAGGGAAGAAAGAGGGGAAGAAGGGGAAAGAAAAAAAAAGGAAAAAAAAAAAACCTTGGTATTTTATTCTATGTTGCATGCCTTTGTGTTTTGTGTTTATGATGTCAAGCACTTTGAAATGCCTTGTAGCTGAAATGTGCTATACAAATAAAATTTGATTGATTGATTGATTCTACTGCTTGAAGACCAAGTACAGAGGCAACTATGAATGTCTTGGACAACCTGACTGGAAATATGCCATAATCAATGAGTCCTTTGGCCCAAATTCGGCTTACTGCATACCACCTCTCTTTGGAAAAGTCTGGTCTGAGTTTTGGCACCCTCTCCTCCTCCCCTTCACAGAGCTCCAAGAACTGCTCCCAGAAAGCTGTATACACGTCCCTTGACACTCCACCGTCGTCCACAGCCATTTCATGATTAAATTCCATTCTTAATTCTGATTCCATTATGCTTTTGTCTATGAACAACTTAAGAAGGTCATCTATGACTATGGCACAGCGGATATGTGCATACCTGGTCTTTGGGATGTCCTACATCTCCAGTGGAAGACGGTAGTGCATAATTTTCTGTTGAAGGGATCATGTGTACTACAGCTGTTTGTGGAGCCTGGAATATAACATGAATTAGAACAGTACATTTTAGTTGTCATATTTTCTTCATAAGACAACCAAGAGTTTGAAAAGACATAGTAATAATTTAGATATGTAAGTATCTAATTTAGGAACTTCATGACATTCATTACATTGGTGTAACGTTATTTTTAAAAATGCAAACAAATCATGTACAGAAGCAAATAAAATTTTAAAACAAAACACATTTACTTCTGAAAAGTTTTCGGCTTCTGTCTCAGGATGACTGGCCATCATGGGAAGAGTAGAAGCAAGCTCACCATCACCATCTTCTGACCTTGATCTCCCCAGCGTCCCTACAGGTTTCCCCGGGTCCCTACAGGTTTCCCCGGGTCCCTACAGGTCTCCCCGGCGTCCCTACAGGTTTCCCCAGCGTCCCTACATGTCTCCCCGGGGTCCCTACAGGTCTCCCCGGGGTCCCTACAGGTTTCCCTGGGGTCCCTCCAGGTCTCCCCTGCGTCGCTCCAGGTCTCCCCTGCGTCCCTCCAGGTTTCCCCAGCGTCCCTACATGTCTCCCCGGGGTCCCTACAGGTTTCCCTGGGGTCCCTACAGGTCTCCCTGGCGTCCCTACAGGTTTCCCCAGGTCCCTACAGGTTTCCCCGTCCCTACAGGTTTCCCCCCGTTGTCCCTCCAGGTCTCCCCTGGTCCCTACAGGTTTCCCCCTGGGTCCCTCCAGGTCTCCCCTGCGTCCCTACAGGTTTCCCCCGGGTCCCTACAGGTTTCCCCGGGTCCCTACAGGTTTCCCCAGGCTCCCTACAGGTTTCCCCAGGGTCCCTACAGGTTTCCCCGGGTCCCTACAGGTTTCCCCGTCGTCCCTCCAGGTCTCCCCTGCGTCCCTACAGGTTTCCCCCTGGGTCCCTCCAGGTCTCCCCTGCGTCCCTACAGGTTTCCCCAGGGTCCCTACAGGTTTCCCCCGGGTCCCTACAGGTTTCCCCGGGCTCCCTACAGGTTTCCCCAGGGTCCCTACAGGTTTCCCCGGGTCCCTACAGGTTTCCCCGGGCTCCCTACAGGTTTCCCCAGGTCCCTACAGGTTTCCCCGGGCTCCCTACAGGTTTCCCCAGGGTCCCTACAGGTTTTCTCGGGCTCCCTACAGGTTTCCCCGGGTCCCTCCAGGTCTCCCCTGCGTCGCTCCAGGTCTCCCCTGCGTCCCTCCAGGTTTCCCCAGCGTCCCTACATGTCTCCCCGGGTCCCTACAGGTCTCCCCGGGGTCCCTACAGGTTTCCCTGGGGTCCCTACAGGTCTCCCTGGCGTCCCTACAGGTTTCCCCGGGTCCCTACAGGTTTCCCCGTCGTCCCTCCAGGTCTCCCCTGCGTCCCTACAGGTTTCCCCCTGGGTCCCTCCAGGTCTCCCCTGCGTCCCCTACAGGTTTCCCCAGGGTCCCTACAGGTTTCCCCGGGGTCCCTACAGGTTTCCCCGTCGTCCCTCCATGTCTCCCCTGCGTCCCTACAGGTTTCCCCTGGGTCCCTCCAGGTCTCCCTGCGTCCCTACAGGTTTCCCCAGGGTCCCTACAGGTTTCCCCCGGTCCCTACAGGTTTCCCCGGGCTCCCTATAGGTTTCCCCGGGTCCCTACAGGTTTCCCCGGGCTCCCTACAGGTTTCCCCAGGGTCCCTACAGGTTTCCTCGGGCTCCCTACAGGTTTCCCCGGGGTCCCTACAGGTTTCCCCGGGTCCCTACAGGTTTCCCCGGCGTCCCTACAGATTTTCCCAGCGTCCCTCCAGGTCTCCCCTGCGTCCCTACAGGTTTCCCCCTGGGTCCCTACAGGTTTCCCCGGGGTCCCTACAGGTTTCCCCGGCTCCCTACAGGTTTCCCCGGCTCCCTACAGGTTTCCCCGGGGTCCCTACAGGTTTCCCCAGGGTCCCTACAGGTTTCCCCCGGGTCCCTACAGGTTTCCCCGGCGTCCCTACAGATTTTCCCAGCGTCCCTCCAGGTCTCCCCTGCGTCCCTACAGGTTTCCCCCTGGGTCCCTACAGGTTTCCCCAGGGTCCCTACAGGTTTCCCCGGGCTCCCTACAGGTTTCCCCGGGGTCCCTACAGGTTTTCCCGGGTCCCTACAGGTTTCCCCAGGGTCCCTACCAGGTTTCCCTGGGCTCCCTACAGGTTTCCCCGGGCTACCTACAGGTTTCCCCGGGGTCCTACAGGTTTCCCCGGGCTCCCTACAGGTTTCCCCAGGGTCCCTACAGGTTTCCCCGGGGTCCCTACAGGTTCCCCAGGGTCCCTACAGGTTTCCCCGGGCTCCCTACAGGTTTCCCCGGCTCCCTACAGGTTTCCCCAGGGTCCCTCCAGGTCTCCCCTGCGTCCCTACAGGTTTCCCCCCGGGTCCCTACAGGTTTCCCCGGGCTCCCTACAGGTTTCCCCGGGGTCCCTACAGGTTTCCCCAGGGTCCCTACAGGTTTCCCCGGGGTCCCTACAGGTTTCCCCGGGGTCCCTACAGGTTTCCCCAGGGTCCCTACAGGTTTCCCCAGGGTCCCTACAGGTTTCCCCGGGCTCCCTACAGGTTTCCCCGGGTCCCTACAGGTTTCCCCGAGCTCCCTACAGGTTTCCCCAGGGTCCCTACAGGTTTCCCCAGGGTCCCTACAGGATTCCCCGGGGTCCCTACAGGTTTCCCCCGGGTCCCTACAGGATTCCCCAGGGTCCCTACAGGTTTCCCCGGCGTCCCTACCGATTTTCCCAGCGTCCCTACAGGTCTCCCCGGCGTCTCCTTCCTGCTGCTATCCTGACCAGCCTCTGAGTCCTGAGTCCTCTGTACCGGAGACCATCAATATTTGCACTGGAACCCGAAAAGGACATCAAAACGGGTGTGGACTACAGCAAAACAGGCAATCCCTAGTCCGACGCCTAGGGCAAAACATTTTAAGAGAGATGGCTTCTGCACTGGCACGTCTTCATCCAGCTTGTCCATGTTTCAACTCTCTATCCTCCACCCTTTTTTTGAGATGTTGTAGTTTTTTGCCTTAGATAGTTGTTTTCCTCTCGCAATTTCAAAATTTCGTTCTCCATTTTCTGAACCGCCTGTTGCTTTCAAGCTCGTGCTCTGCAAGTTGAGCCTCAAGCTCCAGATATTGTTTGTTGTCCATTGTCCAAACAAATCGCAGACAAGCAATGTCGATGGAGAGCCTTCAACAAATGATTGATATTTTCCTGGCTGTTCCCTGGAATTCAAGAATGCAGCTCTATGATGTCACAGAGGAACTGATGTCACAGAGGAACGTTGATGTCACGTTTCCCCGCTCCAGCAGAACAACTGAAAAACGTCTGAAGTTTGAATAAAAACAATTTTCATTTTCTATTTTATATTGTGAAACTAGGAAAAAAACATCTACACCATTATCAATGAAAATATGAATTCCTATTGATCAGTGATATTTTATCATATATGAAATGTCCGATGACAATTTTAGGATTGAAACTTAATTTGCTGTTCTGAAATGTGTCCCTGTAAAACACGCTGTACTTATCTAGTGTTAAAAGGTCACAGGAACAGGTAGTATTTTGCTCTTGTTTGCGAGTGTTCAAAAGAAATTCAACAGTCGGCAAGAAAGGGATTTAAGCAGAAGGAATGTTAAGGGCGCCATATGTTTTTTCACCAGTAGATGTCAGTAAAGCGCTTTGTTCTGATCTGGACAAGATTCCCTTGGAGTTTTTTTTTTTCTCTATAAAAATACTGCACATAAAATAATAATAATAATATAATGGGCTTTTAAATTCTGCAGCAGGAGGTTTAAATGTTTTGACATTTACTGTCTTTAATCAAATAGTAAAAATTAATCTGATTAAGAGTTTAAAAAACTCTTTAAAAAAATTAAAAATAAAACTTTCATGTGGAATATTTTCCCAAATCATCTGTTCAGCAAACCAGGGTGTATACATCTGTTGTTGTGTTGTATTTTTTTCAGTTAGGAAAACATCCAGACAAATCAGCTAAATTTCATCAGCAGCTACATAAATCATTACTGCTGTGAAACTGGGTTGATGAAAATATTAATTTGATAAGCCAGTTACTCAATACTAATTGTGAATCAGCGACCTGCGATCATTAAATCATGGAAATATATAATTAACATTGCTTTTTCACCCGAGGTTTGTACTATAAAGTACCTATTTTTCATTTGGCTTGACCAATTCTGATTTTTTTTTTTTTCTTCAAAATTGCTGAATTTTCGTATTTTCCCATTTAAATTGCCGGAAGCGAAGCTGGTGAGGCAGCAGAGAGTTGAGCCTCAAGTTGATCAACCTCTCACTAACTGGAGCATGTTCCTCCTGTCTGTACGTCACCAATGGCAAAAAAAAAAACATTTGATTTTCCCTAATTTAGCTTCTGTAATATAATGTATAGTGTACCACCCGGTACCTCCTGCTGACTGTTGGCTCTGCTTCTCCTTAATGTTTCTGCCAGGTGGGTAAAAGCCGCTGCTGATGGGATCTGGCCTGGAAGTGAACGGCTGTAAATAGAAGACACTGCAGAACCTCAAGTGTTAAAGGAAGTTTCGGCCAGAGCATTTAGAGGTTATGAAATAAACGTCAGAGAAAATACTGCAGCAATAATTAGAACCGCAGCATAAAGCCAAACATGCCGCAATTAAATGAATCAAAATGTCCCCAAAGAATCGGCGGGCTGACATAGGGGCCAACGGGGGATTCAGGTAGATTCCAGAGATGCAGGTTGGCTCAAAGTAATATGGGGCCCTAGACAGACGTTTAACATGTTTAAATATCAGTGAATCTGTTAGAGGGAGACCAGATTTATTGTTCTAGATCTCAGATGTGCAAACATCAAAAATTATATATAGTTAAACCCCTTTGAGCTTTTTGTTCTATAAATCAGTCTGCAGCCAACTTGTTCTCAATGTTAAGATTTTATTAGGGCTTAATTAGTAAAATGGCAGCAAATAAGCTTATTTCATAACTGCATAACCTTTGACCTCTCCTCTGGTCTGTTTAACAGCTAGTCTCAGATCAACTCAGCCCTCCAGACCATCAGCAGCAGAAAAGGCAACTTTATTCCTATTGGGGAAAATATACTACAGCTGCTTTGCATTGTGCCCACATGATGGCAATGACACAGATTGATCCAATTAGATTCTTGATTAATAATGGGTTATTGCTGTGTTGTTGTTCGGTCTTTTAGGCACATCCCTAAACAAAGGCAAATCTTTTGTCCTAGACATCTGCTGCTCAAAGATGTTTTAACGAGACAAAAAGTCGTACAGAATATTTGCTTTATTATGAAACCTGGGGGATTTGTTCACAGAAAGCCATCCTTCATTTGTACAGACCCATGAAGCAGGTTGTTGTTGCAATTACAAAAACAAAAGGAGACACTGTGTCCAGAGCAGGCTGAGGTCGCCAAAACTGTTTTAATACAA